ATTTTTTTGTCTCTAGCGAACCTGTAAAGGATTTTGGCCAGTTTTGACAATCAAAGTTGTGGTTAAAGATTTTAATGGCTCTTGATTGAAATCGCGGCGGAATCGCTTGTCTATATAATCTTTTGCTCTGTCAATAATTTTAATAAAATATTTTTTATTATAATAATCAAAATAATTATTTGGTTGTTGCCTAACTAACTCATCATTCTCTTTAAATTACGCTTTTTTAATGCTGTTAAATCAATGCCTTTGTAGATTAACTGATCTTCTCTTACTTCTAAATTATCTAGTAAATGTCCAATATTCGAGCCTGGACTTTACGCAAAATCTCACAAATTAAAGTTTCTTCTTTTTGAAACTCCAATGACAATGTTGTATGTGATTTAACAATATCTTGAATAAAATGTAAATAAAATAAAAGTTGTGGGTCTTTCATGAAACACAAAAATCTTTTAGCTTTCTGCGCAGTTTTGTCTTTTTCGTTTGCCTTGCTTTCTAAATCATAAATAATAATTTTATAGTCAGTTTCAAGTAATCTTAACGCCCTTTTCCGGCTAGCTAATCAAAGAATATTTTTCAATCTTCCAAGCTGTTTAAACTCTTCATCTAAAAAAGAAGCTATTTCTTTCCATTCCTATCTTCTCTGCGATGAATAATAGTAAAAACAAAACAAACTATTGATGTTGTCATCAAACTTCTTTAAATAAATATCAAACTTTATTGAGTTTAATACAGAAAGTTCTAATCTATGCGCTACGCAGTGGGTATATACTATATTGAGGTTTTTATTTTGTATTTTAGTTTGAACACCAGCTTTATTGCCAGACATTACACATGCACCATCAAAATTAACATTTACAGTATTTGCATAGATATTGTTTAAATATAAATTTTGATTCATTTTTTCTGTTCTTAAACTTTAAAAAAAAATTTCTATTGCATTTAATATACCATCAGCATCAACTGTCAGTGGTAAGTTAATACCAGCAAATATAGTTATTGGATTACCATTTTTAGCAAACCTTAAAAAAACTGATTCTTGTTCACTAGTACTCTTATCAGTAGAACCGTCAGATAAAATTGCAATAAAACAAGCACTTGATACGTCTAAACTTAATTTGCGTTTTAAGTCAGAAGAAATTGACGAAACATAGTTTTTGCAAGATTTATCACTTAAAGGGACTACCAAGTCCTGAGACATGTTGTGTTCATATTAAAGAGAATGTTAAAAAAAAATGTCTGAGCAAATTTTTCTTGATTAAAACTAATTAATAAATGTATACCAAGAAAAACAAATCTTGTTGTTTTAGTCAAAGCTCGTCTTCTCCATTTTCTGCGGTATTTTGAGTATGTAAAATAAATGCGGTTTTCCAGGCGCATTATACAGACTTGATAATTTATTCAAGCGCATTTAATTCATAGGAGTTTTAGTGCATGACGTCATAGATTTTTTTGTTTGTTTGTTATTTACACCGATTGTTATTTTTTTCATACAATTTCCAATTCATATTCATTTTTATTATATTTTATTGTTCTAAAATGTGTTTGTAAAAAATTAAAAACAAAATAATATTTTATTTGCGCAACCTTTTTTAAATAATCGTCTAGACCACGTGTATTTTGATTTCTTTTGTTATAAGTTTTTCTTTCAAAATATTAGATAAAATAACTTTTAACCTAAATAATAATGCATTTTTATTAATTTACTTTGTAAATATTACAAAAAAAATTATTAATGCATTTTTTCTCTGATTTTCAAAAATGTATTTTTTGGTATTGAGGTGATCTTATTTCATTATTTATATTTCCATTATTATAACATCCAATATATATTATGGCGGGGGCTTAAAATTTAAAAAATTAATGTATATTAGTTTTTATTTAACAGACATACATGGAAACAATTAACTTGAATGTTCTTAAAACATCTTGCGGAAGAATAAAAAGAATATTCGCAAACACTAAAATTTGCAAACAAACTAATTCTATTGATTCAAAAAAATACGCTGACTAAACAAAATAAAGTTCTAGAGTATTCTGTTGAAATGTTTTAATTTAGGATATGTTGCGTTTTGAGATAACTAGCATAAATTTTTTTAAGAATATATTATCAAATGAACTATTACTTTAATATTATGGCTCATTCTCGGAGCCACATCTGTAAAGCCGTAAATCTTTTAAACTATTATCTTTTGTTTACAAAAAACAAATGTTTTATAATATATATTTTTTAAATTGTCAAAATTTTCAAAGTTAATTACAAATTATATATTTTATTAGTATATTCTTAATTTTTATATCTTTTCTTATTGCTTGGTTTAATTAATTGTTCGTTTGATTTGTAAAAAACTAACGAAGAATTAATAAAATAAACTTTTAATAAAATAAGTAACTATAGTTAGCTATTTAGTAAAATTTTTTAGTAAAATTTTTAAAGAATTTCTAGAATGTTTCCAATAATGTCATGCACTAAAACTCCTATGAATTAAACGCGCTTGAATAAATTATCAAGTCTGTATAATGCGCCTGGAAAACCGCATTTATTTTACATACTTAAAATACCGCAGAAAATAGAGAAGACGAGCTTCGACTAAAACAACAAGATTTGTTTTCTTGGTATACATTTATTTTTAATCAAAAGTAATTTTAATCAAAAAAAAATTTGCTCAGACGGTTTTTTTTAACATTCTCTTTAATATAAACACAGTCTCAGGACTTGGTCTTTAAGTAGTTCTTGCCCAACTCCATTTAGCTTTTGTAGCTCGTACAGCTGAGGAAATTTTTTAAATATAAGATCCTAGAAATACAGGCTTTAGAAATACAGGCTTTATGCTCATTTTCTTTATTGTTGTGTAACAAATATTTTCTTTTCCAAAATTTACATCCCATTGTTACTGAACTGGTTGCATTGCTAATATTCAGATACTTTTGGTAAACCGAGCTAGAGAAACACTCATTTGACTTGTCAATATAAATCCAGCTTAGTTGTTGCCCGTGTTTTTATTGCTTAGCGGCAATCCATTTACGGTGTTCCAAAACACAAATTCAATATTTTTTGGCCATATATTCAATTTTCCCAAAGTCATAGCACAATCCAAGTCATTGCACTTTTTTTTTGTGTGCTTAGTTTTTTTCTCTTTTTCTCCTTTACGTTTAATGCTACTCTCCTCTGTACCATCTTTCTTTAACATTGAAAAGATGCTTAGTTGTTTTAATTTTTTTTTTTTTTAACTTTAAAAATAATAGTATATTAATAATAAGTTAATAAAAATATATTATTGGGGTTGTTAAATGCACAATAAAAAAATTAAAATTACAATAAACATAATAACTTTATATATTCTATTAGATTATGTATCTTTTAGCAAAACTTGAAAATTATTTTTAAAACTTTCATAAGTTTTTTTAATATGCAAACTAACATTACTTCACTTTAAGTAAAATAAGAAGAAAAAAAAAAAAGCACGCTATTTAAAAAAGCAATCGTTTAAGCATGGTTTTTTGTAAAGTAATTGCAAATGCACTCATTTTAAGTAAAATTTTGAATGCTTTTTCAAACGCATGCAAAAACCATGTTTAAACATTATTACTTTCTTCATTCCATAGAATAAAGAAGCTTTAGTGTGGTTTCTTTTGAAGTCTTTGAAAATGCGTTTAAAATTTTCATAATTGTTTTTTTGTGTTTTTTATAATAAATAAAAAATGATCAATCGGTTAATTATTTTGAAAAAAAGTTGCTGTAGTAATGCGTTCATTTTAAAAAATTTAAGGCGAACGCCAACATTTGTTTAAGGAAAAGTAAAGGAACATGACGTTTGTTTTTCTGTCAATTTTTGTGCAGACGTTCGCACGTTCGTTGATTTTTTGCGCCCTGTTGTTGTTTTATAAATACGATAATAAATCGTACTTCTATATATTATAAAAGTTCATTCAATTCCTTTTTTTCTTTGTGAATAAAAATGTTATCACATATTAAATTTTTGACTGCCGCACTATAATAACACGTGGGAGAGTGACTATAATAACACGTGGGAGAGTGACTAGGCACTTTATTAGACTTTTGTAATTAAATCTTAATTATTTTATTTTGCTCAGAGCCATTTGTATGTTTTGTATTGTTTTTTCTTTGTTTTATGTTTTTGTTTTTATTTATTTCTTTACTCTTGAGTGAACTTTATTCAGTTGTACTGAATAAGTTGTTGTATTAAATACTAAAAAACTTAGTAACATTTTAAATTCTTTTGCAGTTCATGCATACATTTCGCCTGCTTTTTAACATACCTATTATTTAACTTATAATAATAACTTATAATATAACATAAAACAGAACAATACGAAACTGTTATCACTGTTTGAAAAAACTGTTCGATTTCGTTTTTTACATCATAATGTTACATAACAGTCAAGTAATTTTTTATTTTTTTTTAGTATGTGCTAAATTAAATGACAAAAAAAAATGCTTGTAGAACTTTAAAATCTATGAAACTCAGCATATTACAATATCAATATGTGCTAAATACACACACCAAATGTTTTTTTTTTCTACCATGCTGTTTGCTGGATTAAAACTGACAAAGTTGTTAGTTTTTTAAAAAAGTTTAAGACTTTAATGCTGAAACTTTTGCATACTAAATTTAATGATAGTATTACACATTACTAAGTCATTTTCACTTTTCAGTTGATTTTTAATAGCTTAAAGAGTGTCAAATGTTACAACCACCACTCTTGTGGAATTGCCAATATATATATATATATATATATATATATATATATATATATATATATATATATATATATATATATATATATATATATATATATATATATATATATATATATATATGTATGTATGTATGTGTATATATATATATATATATATATATATATATATATATATATATATATATATATATATATAAATTTATGTATCTATTATGCATGTATGTGTGTTTGTGTGTGTGTATATATGTCTTTATTATTAATTTTAAATTTCATTTTAGATGGGTTTTTTTCAGAAACTAGTTATTGTGTTGAATTTATATCACTTCTTCATATTAACCCTTTGATTTCTTGGGAAGATTTATCTAACTTAATCAATAAAACTTTTGAGAAAGAATTTGCTTCAAAATTTTTTCAGAATAAAGGTATTGCTAATATTCAATTCTTTATTGTTTACAAATATTTTTGAGTCAACGTATGCAAATAATAATTTGATTTGTTATTATTTTAATGTATTTTTACTGGTAATACATCATAAATTTATATTTATTTTATGACAACCAATAAATGCTAATTTATTTTTGATAAAACTTTTTTTTTTTTTTAATAAAAAAGACTTTTTTTTATAAAAACATCCAACAAGAAACAAATTTTTTTATCAAGTTTTTTATCAATGCTCTGCTTTAAAATTTATGAATATTTTTCAATTTTTATTTTACCATTTGGTTTTTTAAATTGTTATCATCTATTAAAAAAAAAAAAAAAGCCTAATGGTAGCATTTTTTAAAGTAAAAATATACTTAAGATTTATCTGCAGTAATGGTTTAAAACACTTATTTCAAATCTGTTTGATATATTAAAAAGCTTGAGTTAAGTTTGCGAAAAAACACCTAGATTAGATGCCAAATCAGTGGGCAAAATTTAATTCATTTCATGCTATTTGGGTCAGATGGAATTAAGTATGGTCAACATCCTGCAGGTGAGAGGTTCAATCGTAAGTACCAACTTTCAACTGTTAAGGATGTTGGTGGAAATATTATGGTTTGGGTTTGCGTCAGTTGTGATTGTATTGGGTCTATTCTTCATATTAAAGGATTTGATTGCAATTCATTTTGATAAGCATGTGTATAAGGAGATCATCAATGATAAATGCTTTCTCATGCTGAGGATAAAATGCCATGAAGATGGGTGTTTCAATAAGACAATGATCTAAAGCATAGTGTAGTCTCTGTTAAGAATTTCTTTGTCAGCAAAAAAATTGAGTTTTCGCAAAGTCCTGAGTATTTCCATAAATGCTCAATCCAATTGAGCATTTATAGGAACACCTAGATCCTCAATTAAAAGGTCAAAAACCAACAAATAAGAATGATTTATTTGCTTTAATTGAATCAGAATAGTCAAAGATTGCATCAGATGTTATAATCAAGCTAGTAGACTCAATGTTGCATCATTACCAGGCTGTTATTGACTCTGAGGTTTTGGAATCAAATCTAATTTTTTTAACCATGTATTTTAATTTTCAATAAAATAAAAATCAATAAAACTACAAGTGTACTTTTGAACTGCGGAAAAACCGTTATTCACAATATTTGCAACTGTATGAGTTGGTTGTTTTACCTGTGGTTTTTAGAAAAAGCTTTTTGACCGGGTCTGTTTTACAAGGCATCTTTATTGTGGAAAATGAAGATTATTTTATTTTCAGTTATATCTAAAATACAAATGATTATAAAGAACTAAGAGTTCACAAAACAAAATAAAATCAAAAAACTCTTCAGAAAAAGTATAGCAGCATCCATGTTAACAAAAGCATTCATCGAATAAAACGTTTTATTTCTTTCAGTTGACGGCATGTTTTTCAAAAACATGTCAGGAAAAACAAGTTTTTTTCGCAACATGTTATATATTCGCGCACCTCTAAATCTGCTACAGCATGGGGCTTACAGTGACTGGTGAACTTTAACTCAAAGAAAACTCAATTTTTTTCAGCTAATGGTTATTGCAATAATCTATATTTATAAGTGGTAATGTACTCAATGAGTCATCTACTCTTTGTCTTCTAGGACTAACTCTTACTTCCAATCTTTCTTGGAAACCATATATTAAATCAATTAGCATCTGCTAAGGTTGCATCTCTTTATCATGTTCGCTACTTTCTTACTCAGGATTCTATTCTTTATCTCTATAAATCTCAAATCCATCATTGTTTGGAATACTGTTGCCATATCAGAATTTTTGAAGAATGTCCTTTCTCTTTTAGACAAAGTGCAAAAATGCATTGTAAACATATTTGGACCTGCTTTTGCAGCCAACCGCCAACCATTATCACTTCGTCATATTTAGTAATTCATTCTAGTGTTACTTGTCATTCAATCAAGTCTCATCCTTTTACTGTGACTGTTTTTAAAGGTGAGTTTCCACTCATCCGTTTTTTCACGGGAATGGGAAAGGCATGGGAAAAATAATCACGTGGGCATGCGTATTATAAGTTTTAATTTGTCCAAAGTAAAACTGCGCATGCTCAAGTGATTATTTTTCCCTTTCCTATCTCGTTCCCGTAGAAAAATGGATGAGTGGAAACTCACCTTAAGTGCTCCAAAAGTTCTTATTCGTCTAGTTTTTTTCCTATAATATCAGTTCTTTGGAATTTGCTCCCTTCATCTTGTTTTTCAGATTCATATAATTTGCAATCTTTAAAGTCATCTGTTAATCATTATCTTACTTGATAAATTTCATCATTTCTTTTCCAGTAACTTCCAACTCTAATAGTGGTTGCTTGGAGTCTTGTTGGAAGTAAAGATGTTGGGATAAAAAAATACTTTAAAAAAAAATAGTTTTAACTCAGAAGGAGAAGTTCAAATTTCAAACCAGATTACTTTGCATTGATTTTTAAGTAATTTTTTTTTATACTAATTCCAAAGTAAATTAGGAATTATAACTAGCAAATATAATTGCAAGATTATTTAGATTTTTTTTATTGAATCTGTTTTTGTTTTATTTGATATTTTATTTTATAAACCAAACTTGATAAATATGATGTATTATTTCAAGTTAAATAAATTTACGTTAAATTAAGTTAAATAAATTGCACTTGAAATTTATAGGTTTGAATTTCAAATGTATTTTGTTATATAAAATTGGTGATTTTGAATGGAGACCAGAATGTTGCCCTCCTAAAGAAACAGTAGCAGATGTTTTGCAGCAACAAAACAATAACCATGCACTCGATACAATTAAAATTCAAATTAAAGGTAATAGTGAATGAATATATATATATATATTATATATATATATATATATATATATATATATATATATATATTATATATATATATATATATATATATATGTATATATATCAGTGACGTATCCAGAAATTTTTTGGGCATACCGGTCTAAAAATCCTGTCTACCTAAAAAGCCCTTTTTTTTTTTTTTTTTTACTCAAATTTAAATAGAGTTTATTCGTATAAAATATATCACTCACCCTAGTTTTTTAGGTTTTTTCTAACAAAAATTTAAATAATTAATTAAAATAATGTTACATTTATTACAGAACGACGACTTTAACTACAACATCGATTCATCGCTACTCGCTACTTTTCATTTACTTGCTCCATTCACTTACTAATTATAAATTATAATTAATAGTATTTATTAAATTATTAAATTCAAAATATTAAATATTGTTAACTAGAAATATTTATAATATTTATATAATGTTTAGTAAACAATATATGTATGACTCTTTGGTATAAACTTGATAAGATTTATTACATAGCGTATTTAAAACAAGGTAAATTCATTCAAAATTTTAATTACTTCATTCAAAAATTAATACCTTTTTTTTTTCAGTTCTACTCTTACTATTCAAATCAAGTTTTTTGGCGCGAATATTAAAATATTAATTTAATTATTCAAATAAATGTTATTCTAATTTTATGTTTTAAAAACTTTCATTCGTTTTATTATTTAAAGTATTTTTAATACAATTTTACTGTTATTTGAAATGAAAAAGTGTAGTTTAATCGTTTCGAAAATTACGTTAATGAAACGTAAGCGGAGGAGAAACTCAAATTAATGTATTTTAAAAATGTTATTTAAAAATTACGTTAATGAAACGTAAGCGAAGGAGAAACTCATATTAATGTATTTTAAAAATGTTATTTAAAAATTACGTTAATGAAACGTAAGCGGAGGAGAAACTCAAATTAATGTATTTTAAAAATGTTATTTAAAAATTACGTTAATGAAACGTAAGGGGAGGAGAAACTCAAATAATTGTATTTTAAAAATGTTATTTAAAAATTACGTTAATGAAACGTAAGCGGAGGAGAAACTCAAATTAATGTATTTTAAAATTGTTATTTAAAAATCTTAGGCGTTTCATATTTTAATCCAATCAAAACGTGTGTTTTACATTTAATCCAATTACAACATATTTTTTACTTCATCAACGTGAATTTGAATTAGGCATTTTGGTTGGTTTTAAAAGTCGTTTTTCAAATGTTGGTATTTCTGTGATCACAACAAATGCTAATATAAACTGTTTTAAATTGAGTTTGGGCTGAAATTTGGTAAACCGGTATCAAAATCGGCCTGATACG